GAGTCAGGTCGCCCAGCCTGGTATCCCAGCTTTGTCACGTATAAGCTGTATGGCTGGGGACAAGTTTCTGAACAACTCTGAAGCTCCGTTTCTCCATTTGTAAAGATTAACTACATGGATGATGTAGTGCACCTTGCAAGGAGTGGGTACTCAATACATAGAGACCACCACCACCACCATCATCATCATTCCAATAAATGTTCTGTAGATGTGATATGAAATCACCTTATTGGGGAAAGCTTAGTTGATAAGGCAGTGAGGTTTCAAAGGGTGCTTGGAAGGTTTTAGAATTAAGAAAAGGTCAGAGGAAATTAGTGACCGAGCCAAAGAATACTAGATGCCTTTATGGAAAAAGTAGTATTGCCAGATGATCCAAGGTCACTAAACTTTGGATACCTTAAGAGGGACAATTCTTTCAGTATAATACCTGAAATCCCAATCTTCAGAAGAAAGGTGTTCTGTCAAGAAACAATTGTATACACCAGTATTCATTGAAGGACTGTTTACAGTACCTAAAAAGTGTCCAACAACAGAAACAGAGTTCTGATCCACTGGCTAACACGGATGCACCTTGAAGATTAGTGGATGCCAAGGACAAGGACCCTGTGGCCTCGCTCCTACTTGTGCATAGGAGGAAGCTGCCATCTGTGCAGCCCTAAGGTTTGGAGCTTTCTACCAGGATCCTGTTTTTAAATGCAGACACACGTGCCCCAGTGCAAGCTCTAGTTAACCACACATACGAGAGAAAGGGAACAGTTGTTGGGTTTGTTTTCCTTTTGAAGCGAACACATGTCTTCCTTTTACTCTAAACAAACCTGCATTGTCCACGACAGTTGTGTGTGTATGTGTGTGTTTAACGAAAATAGAATAAAAATTAGGGTAGAAAATGACCGTCAGCATAGTTAGAGATTTCCTTGGCTTCCAGGAAAGAAGGGCAGGATTGAGGATCCTGTGTGTAGTTTGTGGACAGACTGAGGCATGTGTTTGTATTTGAGAATCAAAACTGAACCTAAACTTGTAAACATTCCATATTTTAGTTTTCAGAACTCTAACTTTGCTAAGATGCAAATGAAACATTTTGTTCCTCACTGCTTCTAGGGATTTAGGATGTGCATGCCTATCCAACAACCCTACGGTGCAGAGGACTCTTAAGTACACCTCTGTTGTTACTCTACTGTAATTTTAAAAGAATTACTCAGCTAACCATATGCATAGCCAGTGCTCAGGTTGATCTGATAGGTTGGTTTTCGTGTTAGTTTGTATAAATTTTCTTTCAGCCAATTTTTCGCAGACCTCAGCAGCCAGCAGGTAGTTCTCATTTGTTCATTTATTCAAATACTGATTGAAGACCTACTAAGTGCCACATACTGAGCTAAAAGCTGAGGATGGAGCTGTCAATAAAAATTTCCCTGCTCAAAACGACCTTAAAGAGAAAGTAGTGGGGGTAATGGTACATTTCTTGCCTTCCATATACAGGTTCTATTCCCACGCACGTACCTCATGTACAGCCATGCCTTAGACTGGGTTCCCTCGAGAAGCAAAACCAGTGAATTGTGGTTGTAGAAGCAAGCAAGTCCAAATCTGAATACGTTCCAAGTCTGTGAGCCAGGCTTCTCCTGACTTGTACAGCTGCAGGAGCTGAGGAACCCAAGACTGACAAGCTGGTGGGTACAGAGGCAAATGGGTTCAAGGTTGGCAGGTCAGATGGCAGGCCACTGATGGCTCTCAGGATTGGCAAGCAAACTGGCAGTTCACTAGTTCAAGTCCAAAGAGCCAGAGGACAGTGAGCCAAATGCAGGACCTAGAGTCATCAAAACGTAAGCGAGCTTTATGGGGGACAGCCTTGGAGACACTGGGTGGAAAGTGTACCTGGTTTGCCCCACACACAGTGGGGGGAAGCATGAAGGGGGTGCAACAAGGCAGCGAGGGGAGCAAAGTAACGAAGACCCTGAGGAATCCTGAACATAGACTCCTGACTCGGGTGACAGGGCGTGGCACCTCATCAGACCTGATTGGCAAACATTCATAAGGGTCAGCAGACAGACTTGGAACTATTCGTAGGTTGTTGGGTTTTTTTTTCTTTTGCTTTATGTCTATCTATATAAGGTAGGCAGGATAAACAATCCTGAGGAGAAAACAATGGGACTGGTGGTTCTGGGGTGACATGGGAGAGGAGGGGTCGGGGAAGTGGGAGTGGGGAGCCAACAAACTCAGGGACAAAGGAACAACAACAGAACTAAAATTGATGGTCAGTAGGGTGTAGGATGCCTGGTGGGGTTTGATCAAGTGCAGTGTATCTGAAAGGAATTTTTGAGAGCTAAATGGAGGGCAAGCATGATAGTGGGAGAGGAGGAAGGTGAAAGGAAATAGAGGAAAGAACTAAGAGGCAAAAGCTATTTACAGAAGTATAGGTATAAGTATGTATATATGTAAATATATTAGTGTATCATGATAGGGAGATAGGTCTATGTACATATATTTATATGCTAAGTATTAAGAGAGCAGATGGACTTTGGGCCTCTACTCAAGGCCTCCATAAGCATAACACTTTGTTCTAATAACCTGGCACTCTTTGATGCTTGCCTTCCCGACACAATTGCTGAAACAAAATGGGTGCATAAGCAAATGTAGTGAAGAAAGCTGATGGTGCCCGGCTATCAAAAGATATAGTGTCTGGGGTCTTAAAGACTTGAAGTTAAACAAGCGGCCATGTAGCAGGAAAGCAACAAAGCCCACATAGAATAAGCACACCAGCCTGTGTGATCGCGAGATGTGGACAGGATCAGGTATCAGGCACCAGAAGACCCAAAACAATCATACTGATGCAAACGAAGGAGGCCAGAGTGGAGACCCCAAACTCATCTGTAGACAATTGGACATCCCCTCACAGAAGGATCACAAGGAAGTCATGAACCTGTCAGGGTTCAGTATAGCACCAACAAAACACACAACATTCCTCTAGTTCTTTAATGCTTTCTCCCACTATCATGATTCCAGTTCTATCTTACAAATCTGGCTAGAGAGAGCATATACACTGGTACAGATAAGAGCTCCCAACACATGGAATCCAGGATAGATAAGCCCCTCAGGAACAATAATGGGTTTAGTGATATCATGAGGTTGGGAGGGGTGGGGCAACTGATCACAGTGATTAATGTATAACACGCACACACAGGGTGACGAAAACCATAAACATGGGTGAAGGGAGACCGCGGACGGTGTAAGATATGAAAATAATAATTTATAAATTATCAAGGGCTCATGAGGGTGAGAGGAAGGGGAAAAAAGAAGAGCTGATAGCGCGGGCTCAAGTAGAAAGAAAATATTTTTTAAATGATGGCAACATATGTACAAATGTGCTTGACACAATGGATGTGTGGATTTTTATGAGAGCTGTAAGACCCTCCGATAAAATGATTTTTAAAAAAAACACACACACAAACTGTCAGTGGAGGTTTGCTGTTACTATGATACCAACCAGGTTTCAATAAACAGAACTTCATGACTAAGACTACAGAGAAAGGCCTGGTAATCTACTTAAAATCAGCCCGATGAAAATCACGTGGATCATAACAGTGCTGTCTGCAGCTAGTCACAGGGACACACAATCCTGAGCAGCGTTGGGTTCCAGTCATCGGTCCCTCGTAAGCCAGGGGCCAGCTTGGCAACAGCTATGAACAGCGAAACAAGCCGTAGGCACCCCATCCATACCAGGGAAAGGACTTCCTGCTAAGAGCATTCTGTGGAGATGCATCCCAGCAAAGGTTTCCCCCTGGAAGTGACGAGCTGATTCTCACAGAGCAAGCGGGTTAACTTGGTGTAGAGGACACAGAGGAGCATTCCAGCTGGAAGGAAGAATGTGTGGAATGGCTCACAGGGAGAAAGAGGACTTGGAGCGTGTGCGTGTTTCATGATGGTCAGGTGGTAAACGTGTGAAGCAAAGTGTGGTAAGTTTCTCCAGGACCGTGCCAGGTCCACTGGGCCGGTTCTCTTCAGGTCACACGCGCACATATGGGAGCGCCCTTCTTCCTCCTAGAGCCAGCAGAACCTCCTCACACAGTCATGTGGGAGCAGAACCTTGGATGAATAAAATATATTGGATCCATAGCTCACAATTACTATGCAAAGCATCGCCATGATAAAAAAAGATTTACGTATTGTTTTAAAACCTTTTTTGTATCAAAAAGAACAGTCAGACCTCACCCCAAAGTGCTAGAGGTTGGCTGTCACAGGAGTCACCTGTGAAGAAATGCACTCCGTGAAACCTGTGAGGGTGATGAATTTGAATTTGGAACAAGAGCGTCACTGTCTGCAGAGAACAAAGCAGCAGAAACATTCCTTGACCATTATGTCCCTAACATTCCCTGCAACTTGCAAACAGTAAAATGTGAACTAAATCGATCTTGGTAAATCATGGTTTGCAGATACTGTCTTCTGGAGAAGCGAGAAACTAAATTGGGGGCTTCCGCGTTAGAACTCAGGAGAGAGTGAGTGGCAGACCCGGGTTGCCTTCGAGTCCTGGGCACAGAGACTGTGTGTCGACCAGCTGGGGGCTCTTTGCCGTGGAATTTCCTTTGGGGTCAGGGAGTCCTGCCTGCCAGGAGTGCTAATGATCCTGAGGGGCAAACTGTCATCATGATCGCCGTGTTCTGTGCCTCCATCAGTGGACGTGGTACAGAGTGAGGCTGTTTATTATGTAATAACAGTTTTTAATGAGCTCCGAACTATTTCTGAAACTTCCAAGGCATTATCGAGTTCTAAGGACAGTTAAGGTTAAGAACAGACAATTCTCAATGAAGGAAACTCCCGGGGGGGTTTATGGCAATTATGTTACCTGTTATTCTACAAGGATGGCTTTTCTCCCATATTGTATTCAACTGTATATATTGTTTGTCTCCTTGTGTTTCTTTTATTCTGTAATGAAATAATCTTTCCTCTTGCAACTGAAAAACAATCTAGGCAGGCGTGTGTCCTGATGCATATTCCTGCTTACATTTCAGTTGTAGAGAAAGTGGACGCGGTCACAGGGGGCGTGGAGACCTCTCGCCAAACCTACGATGATAAGCTCACCGCAGTGGAGCGCGACCTGAAAAGATTAGGTAATCTGCAGTGGGACGGAGCCCTTCCGCTGAGCGCCCCTATCCCATGCTATCAATCCACAGCTTTTGAAGATGACCTTGCTGCTGGCTCACATTCACCCAAAAGGATGTTGAGTGTTTTGTGTTGAAGTGTTGGATGTTTCCGCATGATTTAAGTCAAAGATTTCAAATTAAGGACCAGTTTTAGAGCTGGTCTCCCCACCCTGCCCCCGGTAAAACTACTTGCCAAATAAAATCTGATGAGCAATATGAAAGTACCATAAATACCCTTTATTTTAAAATGAATTTTTATAAAATTCCCAGTAATTCCTATTTTAAAATAGCTTAAATTGCATGGAAATGCATATCCTGTAAAAGGAAAATGTCCAGTCTATTTTTGTCTTTATTAAAAAGAAGAAAACTTGGTAAGCTTAACAAGCAACGTGTTATTCCCTTCTTGACATTGTCCCGAGTGGCCTGGAACAAGGAAAATTCCTTCTCCCTCTTTGAAAAAAATGTGTTGACCAAAATTTGTTAGTGCTGGTGTTAAGAACAGCACCCTCCCTGATGACCTTGAACTCAGTTTAATAGATTCAGATATGTAGATTTTATTAATGGAGAGCAGTTTGTATGTAATACACTACACATTTTATGCCCACAATTGAGTGCAAGCCAACTAAGTCTCTTGGTAATCTTTGACATTCCCCGGACACTTCAACATACCATCGATTTAAGTACAAACATTTCTTATTCCAGGGGATCAAACTGGAAAGAAAGCTATCAGCACCAACTCAGAGCTCTCCAACTTCAGATCAGACATTCTGGATATCCGCCAACAGCTTCGGGACATTACAGAGAAAACCAGCCAGAACCAAGAGACGCTGGGGAAGTTGCAGGCAAATGAGGACTCGCTGGTGGATAGGCAGAGTCAACTGAAAGAAACTTTGGAGAATAACTCTTTCCTCATCACCACTGTCAACAAAACCCTGCAGGCGTATAACGGCTACGTCACGAATCTGCAGCAAGACACCAGTGTGCTTCAGGGAAATCTACAGAACCAAATGTATTCTCATAACGTGGTCATTATGAACCTCAACAACCTGAACCTAACCCAGGTGCAGCAGAGGAACCTGATCACCAATCTGCAGCGGTCTGTGGATGACACCAGCCAAGCTATCCAGCGAATCAAGAACGACTTCCAAAATCTGCAGCAGGTATTCCTTCAAGCCAAGCTGGACACGGATTGGCTGAAGGAGAAAGTGCAAAGCTTGCAGACTCTGGCTGCCAACAACTCTGCCTTGGCCAAAGCCAACAACGACACCTTGGAGGACATGAACGGCCAGCTCAACTCATTCACAGGTCAGATGGACAACATTACCAGTGTCTCCCAAGCCAATGAGCAGAACCTGAAAGACCTTCAGGACTTACACAAGGATGCCGAGAACAGGACAGCCTTCAAGTTCAGCCAACTAGAGGAGCGGTTCCAGATCTTTGAGACGGATATTGTGAATATTATTAGCAACATCAGTTACACAGCCCACCACCTGCGGACACTGACCAGCAACCTGAATGAGGTCAGGACCACTTGCACAGATACCCTGACCAAACACACAGATGACCTGACCTCCTTGAACAATACACTGGCCAACATTCGTTTGGATTCCGTTTCTCTCAGGATGCAGCAAGATATGATGAGGTCCAGGTTAGACACTGAAGTGGCGAACTTATCAGTGATTATGGAAGAAATGAAGCTAGTGGACTCCAAGCATGGGCAGCTCATCAAGAATTTCACAATACTACAAGGTAAGTGAAAACTCCGTACGGGCTATTGCTGCAAGCATATCACCTTAAAACAGCAAATACTTATTTGTTTGTTTTGTTTTTGCTTGTTGAACTATATTCTTATTTTGGTACTTATTAAAATTATTAGCATACATACAGATATACATGCAAAACAGCAAACATTTGTTACCTCATAGTTTCTGTGAACCAGGAATGAACCCAGGAACAGCATAGTTGAGTGGTTCTGACTCAGTATTCCTCCTGAGGTTACAGTCAAAATATCAACCAGGTAGGGCTGTAGTCATCTGAAGGTTTGACTGAGGCTGGAGGATCTCCCTCTAAGATGATTCATTCATGTGATGGTTGGCATAAATTTTCAGTTCCTCCCAAAGTGGAATCACTTGAGTGCCCTCACCACTTGGCAGCTAGTTGTTTCTAGAACAAGTGATGGAAGACAGCATGAGAGGAGCCAGAATGCCCTTTATGACGTAGCCTTGCAAGTCATCATCACTTCCACCAAATTCAAACAAGTCATCAAGGGGAGGGGACTTAAGCTCCACATCTTGAAGAAAGGCGCAACTAAGAAAGTTTGGTAGTGCACAGAAGTGTTGATTTGAAATATTGGTTACTTTGGATCTCTCAATCCCTAAGCTATTTCAATAGCACTATAAATTGGATTACCTTGTAAGGCAGAATAACTCTTACCGTTGAGGGATTCCTATGAGGGGGTACCCCGCAAAAAAAAACACACACAGAATTGCACTGGGTGAAGTGGAACTTTCATAGTATGCATAATTCCCACTAAGCGAGCATCAAACAACTCACACTGAGTTAATGTACCCAATGGCTTCCCCTGGAAAGGTGTCTCTGGTCACAGTGAATATTTTTGTAAAAGCAGTTTCACTTGAACCTTGGTTTCTTGTGATGGACGATTTAAGAGAAATTTTGTTTCCTGTTTGGGAAAAATGTCACAGAACCTGTTGTGATGTTGAACACAGCTTACAAACACAGCACGATGGGAAAAACTCAAGTGTATGAGTGTTTTTCTCATTTCAAAAAAAGTGAAATGTCGATTGATGACTAACCTCGTTCTGGATATCTGTCAACTTTCTGAATAGATGAAAATTTTGACTCATAGTGTATTTGGAGTTCATTCAACCAGATCAGACTGTTAATCAAGCTTTCTATTTAGACTAGAGGTTCTGCAAAGATTGTATCTGACAAAAAGACCTGATTTGTGGCAGACAGGGGACTGGTTTTGCCACCATGACAGTGCACATGCAGCCATATGGGTTCACCAATTTTTGACAAACAGCATGTCTCTCTTGCCCCACACACCTGACTCACCTGACCTCGTTCCGTGCAACTTCTTTGTTTCCATGAATAAAGAGGAACATGGAAGGTCAGTGATTTGACAACGTAGAAGAGGTGAAGGGAAAAAATGAGGGAGGTGCTGTCAGCCATCCAAAAAGATGAGTTTAAAAAATGTTTTCAAGAATTGTATCGCAGATTTGACAGATGCATGAAGTGTAATGGAAAGTACTTTGAAGGTGAAAAGGTTGTTTTATAAAAAAATTTATATACATAGCTTTGAAAAAGTATTCTGGGTTTTTTGGGTTTCTTTTATACACCCCCTCCCCAATGTTTCCAAGGGTTCTGGCGTATGCAAAAAAGAATGGAGAATAGAGAATGAAAACCAACATGCTGGATGTCAGCAAGACACTTACCGTGAGACCTTTAAGCAGAGAAAAAGAAGTAGGTGCTGGCTTACAGAATGATGAGGTGATCAGCTATATTAGCTTCTATTTTGTTCAGGAGAATTCTCAAACGTAGCAGCTTACACACCCATTTATTAGAACACCCCTTCAGTTCCTAGAGGCCCTACGGTTTCTGTGGGACAAGAGTCTAGGTGCGTCTAGCTGTGCCCTTCACAGGTGCGGTGCAGGTGCTAGCTACAACTGTGGTCTCACCCAGAGCCTGGCCGCAGGAAAGATTCGTTTTCCAGCTCCCTCAGATGTTGGGAGTATCTGTCTCTTTGTGGCTCTAAGACTGAGATTCCTATTTTTCCCAGATACCAGGTTGGGATTACCTTCACTTCCTAGAGGCCTCCCACCGTTCCTTCCTACATGCCATGTGGCCAGCTCACAATGCTGCCACTTTTTCAAAGCCACCAAAAGTGTTTCACTCACTCCAGACTGGATTCTTATCTCACCCAGTCACTGGGTGGCATTCCATCTTGGCCGTATTCTGTGGGTTAGAAGCAAGTGACACATTCTTGACACACTCCCGGAGAAGGATTTCGCAAGGCCGTGCTAGAATGTGTCTGCCACAGTTGCGAAGTGATCACATATAGAGTGGTAGCTGGTGAGCCCCTGTGAGCCTGGAGCCAGCCCTGGATGTCAGGTGGCAGGGCTCTGCCCTCTCCCCAAAGCTGTGCCTGTGACTAGGCTTGGGATGTGGATGACTTGGTAATTCAATACTCATTCAACGTGAAATTGCTAGTGGATGATAAAATCGTAATCCAAAATTATCTAAAGAGTTCTAGAATAATAAAGATGGAATAGATGGAATAGAGAGTACCTATAAAATCCTCCTCTTAGGTGAAAAAGACCAAACATGTAAACTAGCGGTTCTCAACCTGTGGGTCTCGACCCCTTTGGGGGTTGAATGACCCTTTCACAGGGGTCACCCGGTTCATGACAGTTATGAAGTAGCAACAAAAACAATGTTATGGTTGGGGGTCACCACAAGATGAGGAACTGTCTTAAAGGGTCGCAGCATTAGGAAAGTCGAGACACTTTAAATTGAGAGCCATGTAAACAGAGATGCGAGCACGTGGCTCAAAGGGAATGAACTTGAGGAGCATGGTAGGTTTAGTTGACTAAGCAACTGAATGAGTGCAGGAAAGCCAAGGTGAACTTTGGACAAGAAAAATAAGTGATGCTATCCAAAGCACAGGAGATAGTATCTTACTCCATTCATACTTCAAGGCCTCCTGGAGGGCACTATTTATTTTGGGGGACCCCATTTTAAGAGCAGCTGTCATAAACCACCATTTTACGGATGAGGCAGCTAAAGTTTCAAGAGGTTTTCGCAACTTGCTTATGTTTATAGGCGTTCTTGATTGGTGTAAACTCAATGCTCTTGACTGTTAGCTAAAAGCTTAGAGATTCAGGTCCATGCACAGGTGCCTTGGACGAAAGGCCTGGCATCCTACATTCAGTGGCATCCAAAACAGTCAGCCACGGAAACCCCTATAGAGCACAGCTCTACCCTGACTCGGGGTCACCACAAGGTGGAGCTGACTCATCAGCAACATTTTCCCCCCTTCTGATCCAAGTTTACACAGGTGATAAATAGCTAAGCAGGATTCGAGCCTCGGAGGTCTGATGCCAAAGCCTGTGCTCTTTGCCCCAGTGATACTCCTGAGTCTCCGGGAGGTCAGCTGTGCGGATTGTGTTCTACACGCCATGGGGCTGCCTTAAGTAGGGTCGTGGCATAACCGGATTTATCTTTTTAAAGGTCCCTCTAGATTAGGGGGGGTGGGCAGGGGTAGATGCCGGAAGCCATCTGGGAAGAGTCTAGGGAGAGACTGGAACCACCTAGTGGTGACTGGAATGGAGATGACAGAAGACATGGCTTTGAGGAGAGTGTGGGAGCAAGGCCTGCCTGCCTGGCCTCCTCCAGTCATGCCCCCCCTCCCCATGAGGTCAAGGAGGGGCTATGTGAGTTGGAGTCCTTGGCAGTCCCTGGAGTTCCCTACCCACAGGGTCCCAGGCTGAAAAAGAAGTCCGAAGGGCAGATAGCTGTGCATTGTAGGGGCGGGGTGCTGTAGACAGAAATCAAGCACAGGGTGGGGGGCGACTGAGAGAAAGATGGGGCAGAGCAGGCTGGAGCAGGATTGCATTGAAAGTCCACCTATGCTGGGCTCGCTTCTGCCAAGTTCAAAATACTCCACTCTTGTTTTCTTACATTGAAAGAAACCAGTAAGTTCAAAATACTCCACTCTTGCTTTCTTACATTGAATGAAACCAGTAAGTTCAAAATACTCCACTCTTGTTTTCTTACATTGAATGAAACCAGTGCCAATGGTCCTGTTCAGCCACAGGAGCCAGGTCACCTCCTTAGGAAGCGCAAGCTGAAGCTATCCGGGGCCCAGAGGAGCTTGGCCCCACAGAGGCACTAACCGTGCGGCAGTCATCTCTGTCAACAAAAATCCAAAGCTTATTAAGAAAGCCTTGTACTGTTGGCACAAATAATGTCATGATTTCCATCCTAATTATGTTCACGGAAGACTTTTTGTAACCTCATAGCATACATCCTGGAGTAGAAATTCACCTCCCAGCCTGCTGCTCTTTGTGCTCAGGCTGAGGAGAGAGTACGCCCTGCCCTCCCTAGGCTAGCCAGCCTGTTCCCTTCGTGTGCTCCTCAGAGAGCCGAGGCAGGGTAGCACCCAAGCCCCAGATTCAAACAGCCCTGAGGACAAGTGCCGAGTTCCGCATCGACTCTACGTCGGCTTCCTCGTCTGTCAACTGCTGAGGCCGCCATGAACGCGATGCCATGAAACCCAACTGACCCCCTGGGTTTCCAAGGCTGTCATTTTTCATGAAGCCAACTGCCACGTCTTTCTCCCACAGAGCACCTGGAGAGTTCAACGATTAACCTTTCCCTTAGCAACTGAGTGCTTAACCTGTGCACCACCACGGCTCCTGAGGACTCCGTGAAATCATGTACTTAGAGCACCTAGCACGGCACCTTTAATCACACCTACCACCAGGGCACCTGTACAGCACCTAGCCTGGGCTGACAACAGCCAGGTGTGAAAAAGCTGTTCCTGTCAAAATATTTCTAGTGATAGTTCTAGCCACCCCACTGCAGTGAAAAACAAAAACGGAATGTTACCTGCACAAACCATCATGCTCTTTAGCTGAGGTTAAGGCAGATTTGGCTCTAAAAGCCTTCCTAATGTTTTCGGGTTGCCCTTCCCTGGAAGTGAATCAGGCTCGGGTGCTGCCCTCCAGCTAACCGTCAGTCATTTTCTTTCAGTCAGCCTTTGAGTGTCTGCTATATGCCAGCCAGGCCCCTGTGTGGTGCAGTGAGTTGGCACTGAATGTCAGTTGAAAGGTTGGCAGTCAGTTCAAGTTCATCCAATGCAATCACAGAGGACAGGCCTGGTAGGCGGAGCAGTTCTAGTTGGTAACACTCGGGGTTGCCAGGAGTCACAGTCAACTCAATGGCTGCTGGTTTGGGTTTCTAGCACATTCACACTGCTGGGCACTTGTCTCAATTGTGGGCTTACGGTTACTTTCCCTAAAATGGGATTATTAGTAACCCCCATTTACAGGGCAGGAAACAGCCGCAGGGAACTTATATCACTTACCCAATTCACAGAGCTAGTAATGGCAGACATGTGTTAAACTTAGATCCGTCTGATCCCCAAGATCCAACTCCGCTAAAAGAAGAGGAAACGACACTGCCATCGAGGTGGTGACTCATAGTGACTCTGTATAGGGCCCTCAAGGCTGTAAATCTCTACAAGAGCAAATAGCTTCATCTTTCTGTTGCAGAGTGACTTAGTGGAGTTGAACCACTGACCTTGTCATTAACAGCTCTTTGCTTACCTGACAGTGCCACCAGGACTCATGGTGGGAGTTATGTACAACCAAAACAAAGCATTGCCCAGGTCTGCGCCACACAAAAGGACAAACGTGACAAGGTCCCACTTATAGGAAATATCTAAATAGGCAAATGCATAGAGACAAAGTAGATGACTGGTTACCAGAGGGGGGCGGTAAGAGAAGGGGGAGTAATTATATAAGGGACACTGAGTTTTTGTGTGTTGTCATGAAAAACGAATAGGAATCGTAAGGATGATTATGTGATGAGATCTCGCCGAACTGAATACTTCAAAAGGGTTAAAGTGACAGCATTTTTGTGGAAAGCTTAAATCTCTTAAGGAAGTAAACTGCCACGTCTTTGTTCCCCTGAGACAGACGGTCCAAACCGCCAATGTTTCGGTTAGCGGTTCTTGACTTCTGCACCACCAAGACTCCTAGTAGGCGCTAGTCCCTTCATCTGCATAGGTACACTGACCAGGGTCTCCGAGGTGCATCAAGTAGACCAGTCACGGAGCAGAGATGAAATGTCCTTTACATTTTACCCAGGAAATCAACCTGGAAAAAAGTAACAAATTCTCTGAGGTAGAAAAATGGACAAAGATAATGCTGGGGAGGCGGGGGGAATCTCTCAAGGTATTTTATCAAAAAATCCAGGCAGAAGAACTCATTTCACCATATCCTCCTTTGGCAGAAAAACGGTGTTGAGTTGAGATTGGTTTATTTTCTCCCCTGCCAATAAGTTAGATGGCTCACCTGATTCTTTTTCTCTGGTCTACCTTCCTTGTTTTTGTTATTAGACTGAACAGAAAGTTGGGGTGCATGTCTGCTGTGAGTGGTAAGCCTCACTCAGTTTCCCCACAAGGAACTTCACGGAGCCACTGACTGGTTCCTATCGAGCCTGGGTCTCAGGGCAGCAGTGTCCCTGCAGCTTGGGGAACAGGAATACAAAGGAGGAGGCGGCAGCAGACCTGTGCCGTCAGTAGTCAGTACTTGATGGCACTTGTGATTGAAGTTCAACTCTACCACACACCCTACATGCGAGGTTGCTGATAAGTATGGGTCAAATTAATCAGGAGGACATGAGGGGGGAGGAATCCCAATCTGAAAGCCTTTGTGATGGTGACAAGACTGCCCAGGTAACTCAGACGGCAGAAGTCATGTAGCTATGGAGGGTCATGGAGGTGCCAGTATCCACAGGCAGATGTCTCCCCCTGAAATGTCAGAGGGATGGAAGGCGTTATGCATCGTGAGGATACTTTCTAAGAGCTTGAAGCAGGAAGGATAGGCTTATTAAATGCCATCAGCAGTAGAATGCTAAACCAAGGTAGGCCTTGTAGATATCTTTTGTGTGTCCAGATACTGTCGCTGAGACTTGATCAGATAACTTCCTCAGCCGGCGTCCCTCACAGTGGATGTCATGTTTATGCCACTTAATGTTTCTTCATCTTTTAGGTCCTCCAGGTCCCAGGGGTGCCAAAGGTGACAGAGGATCACAGGGACCTCCTGGCCCAACAGGCAACAAAGGACAGAAAGGCGAGAAGGGAGAGCCGGGCCCACCAGGCCCAGCCGGCGAGAGAGGCCCAATCGGACCTGCTGGCCCCCCTGGAGAGCGTGGCGGGAAAGGCTCCAAAGGCTCACAGGGCCCCAAAGGGTCCCGTGGGTCCCCTGGGAAGCCTGGCCCTCAGGGCGCCAATGGGGACCCAGGACCCCCAGGCCCAATGGGCAAGGATGGACCTCCTGGCCCCCAGGGACCTCCCGGCTTCCAGGGCCTTCAGGGCACTGTTGGGGAGCCCGGGGTGCCTGGACCCCGAGGGCCTCCAGGCTTACCAGGGGTGCCTGGTCTGCCTGGCTCCAGAGGTCTTCCTGGGCCCCCTGGCCCATCAGGAGCAGCTGTACCCCTGGCCCTACAAAACGAGCCAACCTCAGCACCCGAAGCCAATGGTAAGTCTGATCTGCCCTCACCGCAGGTGGGCAAGCCCATAGCATGTGGCCCCACTTCCTTGTCAGCAAAAACCTCAGGTAGGGCAGACTGTCAGACCCTGCTGCTTTCAGCAGCCCTGCAGCCAGGCCCTCCCCCATGCACACGTGCCACTCCCGATAAACATGGTCAGGGCCTCTCACACATGCTCATGTCACCAGGTAGGCCCCCAGGAGACTCACTCGTCTCCAATCTTTCCTTCATGGAGCCTGAGGCTGGTCCCCTGACCCTTCTGTCTATGCTGAGGTTGGGCCACTAACTCGATCAACATAAAGCCCAGACCCAGATTTAAGTTCTTTTTGACAGGGTGTTAGGGTGTGTCTGAATTCCTTTGATAATCAAGACTTTGAGAAAACTCTCTCTCCCTGCCCCCCACCTTTGTTGGTGTTTGGGGGTTTGTTTTCAGTAGCCAAGCCTATTGCTCCCTCCTTTGACACAAGCCCAGCGCCGCGTGGCCCCTCTGCGGGCTCGAGCCTCTCTCTGGTGCTCTGGGAGCGCGTGTTGGCGTCTCAGTTCTCACATCTAGTTGTTCATAGGTTCCATATGATTCCAGATGACAACGCACAGCTGTGCCGGCCCCGCTCTCTGTTGTGCTTGCTGCTGCTTCTGTCCTTAGAGAGACTAATCCAGATGCAGAGCAACAAAGGCTCAGGAACAGATATTTTCCACATTATGCGGTTTCAGCTACTGTGTAACTGGCGTTCCACTTCTCGGTGCCAGTCTTTGCTCTTAGCATGTCAGTGAACTTCGGCCATGCGCCGCACATGCAGACACATGGTGGAGCATAACTTTGGCCCCCTCAGCATATCTGAAGAAAGGCACGGTACTTTGGGGATTTTTTAAATCAATACTTGACCATCTCTTTGTGTCCCTAGGCTGCCCTCCGCACTGGAAGAACTTCACAGACAACTGCTACTATTTTTCTGTTGAGAAAGAAATTTTTGATGATGCCAAACTTTTTTGTGAAGACAAGTCTTCACATCTTGTCTACATAAACACAAGAGAGGAACAGGTATGTTTGCAGCATACTTTGTTTGGGTAAAACTGTAATTTAAGGCTAGTTTACATCTGGAAATCACATGATTACTAGGGACTCCGAGACATCAAGAATTCGTATTCACAGAAACACACCCAGAAGGAACCATTATGGAGATTTGGGGGCTATCCACTGACTAGAAGTATTCATGGCATGCAAATATGTCCTCCTGCTTCCACCTGGGAGAGACAGCCTATGGAGCCTGGAGATGCTGGGCTCCTCCCAGTGGCTGCTGGGAGAGCCAGGGCACTGAAGAGAAGCCCGTGGCTTAGTCCCAGGCAGGCATCTATGAAGAGAGGAACCAGGCAATATAGGGTGGGGTGGGATGCAAGGCACCAGACATGGGGCCCCAGCAGGGTCAGAAAGAGCAGAGAAGGCCGTGGGGGCAGAGCCTACATATGATAATGATAGTGACCACTCATTAGGTACTGACCCTGGATGGCGCAAACGGTTCATGTGCTCAACTGCTAGCCAAAAGATTGGCGGGTTGAATCCAACCAGAGGCACCCTGAAGAAAGGACTGGCAGTCTACTTCCCAAACAATCAGCCATTGAACGGTCTATGAAGTTCTACTGGGCAACACATGGGTCACTATGAGTCAGAATCTACTCAATAGCAACTGTTTTTTGTGCCAGGAACTACGCGAAGCATTTTTTCATTGAAACCTCACAACAACCCCAGTACTTAGATGTCACAATCCCCATTCTAAGAGGTCTGGGACGCGGCAAAGGGAAAGTGATTTACCCCCGGCACCACGGTGCAGAACGGAGCTGGAAGCTGAGGTCTGTGGAGTCCCCGCTGCCGCCGCTATTGATCTGCTCCTGCTCTAAAGGGCTCTGGGAGACAGACAGCCCTGCTCGTAGATGCTTCCCACACTGACTTGCCGGCATTGAGCATACAAAAGACGGGGGCGAGACACCTGGGCTTTCGACGATCCCAACTTGGGTACAGTTGCAAGTTCTGCCACTCACTATTTTGATGTACAGTGAACCCTCGTTTATCACGGTTAATCGGTTCTAGATCCTACCGTGATAAATGAAATTCTGCGAAGTAGGATTCCTTATTTGTAAATCAAATATTTTCATAGTTAGAGCATAGAGGACATGAAAAAACACCCTTTAGTCACCATTACACTCATATTACCCAATTTATTAAACAAAAAAGGGAAAATACAGTAAAACATTTTGGACGTTACAATTATCATTTATTATTTATTAAATTATTTATGGCATCTAGTTTACAGTATTACATATTTCACATACAGTATTATTATACATAGTTCTTACAAATACTGTAATCAATAGCCTATGAAATGACTTAAGGGATGTACTCTACAGGTGGGTCGCTATCTTTTTCCTCTGAAGGAGCGGGTGTAGGCAGTGGGTGCTGTTACGCAAAAACCGCGATAGAGTGAAGCCGCGGAAGTTGAAGCGCGAAGTGGCGAGGGTTCACTGTACAATAAAAATAAATGAAGGATGCCGTTGTCAATTCATAGCTCGTGTGTGAGTGCAGACCTGCACGCTACAAAGGGTTTTCAATGGCTGACTTTTCAGAAGTAGACATTTCTTCAAGGTGTTTCTGGGTAGATTCAAACCAACAACTTTCCCTTTAACTGCCCTTCCCCCACCCCACCCCACTTTGTGACCTTTGTTATCTAGATGGTCAGAACTGAAAGAGGAGAAGCACATAGCGAGAGTAGTGAGGGAGAGTAGTGAGGGAGAGGTTCGCAGGAATGGTATCTATGTTCTGGCAAATCTGTCTTAGCCTGTCCTGTTTTGCAAATGTTTTTTAAAAAAATTCTATGGCCATCTGTTCATCGAAGTAACAGTGCACCTTCACGAATTTACTTTCCAGCAATGGATCAAAAAGCAGGTAGTAGGGAGAGGTAGCCACTGGATCGGCCTGACCGACGCGGAGAGTGAAAGTGAATGGAAGTGGCTGGACGGGACATCCCCGGAGTACAAGTGAGTGCTCCCACCTTCCCCAGCGGGACACCCTGCTCTGCCTCCACTAGCTTCCTAATGGCGCGCTTCTCACACTGAGGTTCCTGGGTACGAGTTTCATGGTTCTTAGCAGGTGGCTTCCAAAAATTCCTGGGATCATGGAATTTCTCCATTCACTTTCTGAAACCCCCTTGTCATTTTCGGAGAGGGGCTTGAGTCCCTTCCAGCTGCTGGTGGCCCAGGTGTTTCTTAGTTTGCAGGTGTGTCTCTACAGGAGGCCTTAGTCTTCCCCCACGTGTGTCTCTGTGTCTGCCTCATCTCCCCTTTTAAAAGGCATCACTCAGAAAGGATTAGGGCCTACCCAACCTCCAACATGATCCCATGTTGGAAGACACAAATCAGTCTGTAACACTACCCTGGGCACATGACTCGCCTGGACCACTGTGAATTCCACTTCTTCCTTCTCCTGCTTTGCTTCTAACGAAGGAACGGATGCACAAATATGTGACAGTGACAACACCAAATTGCCCCAAGTTGAACCGCATTTACACAAGTCAACTTCTGGGTAACCTTTATCTGTGTGTGTGACACAGAGAAGCCAGCCCAGCAGTGCGGCCTGGAGAGAAGGTTGTGAGTGTGGGCAGGGACCAAGCAGCTCCCTCGCTGGTGCTGTTCCCACACCTGGGACCCAGAAACCTGGCACAGCATGGCACAGACAAGCCCACCATGCTCAGGCATGGATTCCTACGGAGCAGGAGCGGGGAGGAAGGGCCCTAAAGACAGAGGGGCCAGTTGGAGTTCTAGAAAGGTGGTGCGTGTGCGCGCTGTGTACAGGGGAGGCTCACAGACAGATGCGCACTATCACATACTCACCTTGAAGTGCATGATTAGAGGATGCAGTGAAAACTGGATTACCATTATTGCATTTAAAATGGGGGGGGCAAATATTATGGAGGGGCATTTGAAGATTTTAGAGCTTCTCTGCAGGTGGGCTCAGACTGGCCCAAGGGCAAGGGGTGGGTACCAGCCTGCTGATCTGACAGGAACTGTTCTCTCTCTGCTGGTCCTCGCCCCACCTCCCAGCTGGCCCTGTGAGGGCTTGGCTGAGCTCCCTGAGGAGAGGCCCAGCATGGCCCGGCTGCCCTCACGGGAGCAGCTAACTATGAGGCAGTATCTAAAATAGGAGCAACGGAGGATCAGAGGTGAGGGAAACAGACAGACTTGGAGGGTGGGGGGATGGTCAGTCTGTTCCTCTGACAGTCGGGAGGCCATGGTTATCTTTTTCAGACGGCTCAAAAATGTAACAGAAAAAGTCTCCACTTCACTGCTCTTACTGCCATAAATGCAAACAAGGTCTTGGTTAGACTCACTGAGAAATTCAATCTTAAGCCCGTCTCCAAGAAAACACTGTGTTGGCCCAGATGGAATGGATTGAGCTGGAACATGTGTCTCTAAGCCAGCTCTCCCAAGATGAAACCCTTCACCCCTTCCACGAGCTCCAGCAAGAAGTGTGGGATTTAAGAAGAACGGCCAGTAGGGGAACCTGGGACCCTGAGAAGGGCTGAATCAGGAGACACCTTCTTTGGAACTGGGTCCGCAGACAGCCTCAGAGCTCCCCCCACGTACCCCGCACTAGCACTGCTACCACCACCAGCCCTGGCTTCTGCACCCAGCCACAGTGCCGAGCCTGCGTCTCCTCTTCCACGGAGAGGGACGCATGCTGCCCAAAGCCTCAGGATCAAATGTTAAAAAGCAAGAATAAATTAGGCAGGCATATTATGAAGTCTCGATGATGGGAGGCTAATTTAATGTGACGTAGAATAATAAACATGGCACAAACTACCCACAGAGCCAGGGCCGGCCCGTGGAGAGCACATAGACTTTGGAATCAGCGAGATCTGGGTCTAGGCCTTCCCTCGGCACACAGAGCCGTCTGAACTGCTGTGAGTTAACCGCTGTGTGAAATCTCCACAGGCTCGTGGATATTACAAAAGACCCTGCCTCGGTGCTTTGAAAAATTAAATGAGAAAGTATGTACGAGTAGACCTCAAAAAGTTTGGGGGGAAGTTTGAGGGAAACACCATGATCGTTCCATTCCAATTTCCCACAAACCTTTTGAAGCGCCTCCGTGTCTGAAGCATTTAGGATCGTGTCCAGCACCTGGGAAGTACTTGTGCAATGTTAGCTGCTAGTAGTCCTATTATGATTATGGTCAGAATCATCATCATGATCATAGCAACTGCAGAATCAAGCCTGCTACCCCAGGTGCTTCAAAGCCGACCTGCTGCTAGCGTATCCTCGACTGTTCTCGTTACAGAACAGATTGCCAGGCCTTTCTTCCATGGGGCCACTGGAAGAGGGCTGCAAACCACCACCCTTTGTCAGTGGTCAAGTGCAAACCATTCGCAACACCCAGGACCTGCAGGCTAAGCCTAGTATGTATGCATTTTATAGTGCACTGTTTGAGAGGCCACACACGGGCCTCACAATAGGTTTATGGAAAACACAAGCAAAGTGCCCTCTGTCATGACCTTGGGCAGAGACACAAAGGATGGGGATTGAACTCTAGGCTCCCATAAAACCCTCACCAGTTTAAATGTCCCAAAGCTTCCCCACCTGCTGAGACTCCCCTTTGCCTTCCTCTTCTTCTGTGGCCTCCAAGCAGAGCCGCCCACTTTCCTCCCACTGCCCCAGCAACAATTTCTGAACCTGACCCCACCCCCATGCCTTACTACATAGAGGTGACAGGGGGATAAGGTTTCATAGCTTTCCTCTCCCTCTTTTATCACTAACACACAACCCTTTAGAAATTATCTATGATTTTGTCATTCCTAATAAAAAGGATATAGATGAGGGATCAAAGGCTCTCAACTCCACTCTTTTCTCCTCTCCTTTTTTATGCCAAGGGATGGTTGAGAAAGACACTGCTTGAGTAAGCAAACAAAGAGCAGTGATGTGGAGTAGATAGCAAAGGCGTTAGGGGGCACCCAAGACTAAAGTAAAGTTTATCCCCAATGAAGCATCATTATGACTCACCGAATCTCACAGCAGTTTCTACACTGAAGCAGGACAGACCTGTTGGGGAAAGAACGGGCCAGTTCAACGGCAAAGGACCATCGATGCAGACAACGTGTGTGAATTGGCACGAGGAAGTTCATAAAGAGAGTGGTCTGCATCCTACTTTTGTGAGTAGTGTCTAAGATCGTAAAAGCTTAAAAGTGGTCTTCTAGGACGCAACTATTGATCTCTTCCCCGATGGGGGAAAGAAGGAAGGAGAAAACCAAAGGCTCAAGGGAGCAAATAGTCCAAAGGACTAATGAACCATATGAACCACAGGCTACATGACTATGTTGAGCCAAGTTGACTGTGGAAACAAATCCAGTGATCCTCTCAGATGTATAAGAGCTTTATGTCAATAAATCATTCTATATCAAGAAAGCATCTCAGCCCAATCAATTGCAAGTCTGTCAGTCCAATACTAGTCTTTAAATCCCTTCTCAGACTCACACAACCACATGTAGAGATGCGGAATGCAGGAAGATCACAGGCCAGTGGGGCAGAGCCAAGTGGATCCAAGGTCGGCAGGGCTCTGGCAGCTCTCGGGGTGGCTTGCCAGCAGGCAGGTGGAAAGGAATCGAGAAAGCAGTTCCCAGTGTCTCATAATCTTCTACCATCCAGGAGTCGGCAGGCTGTGACTTGATTGGCAGGTTTGACTCCACCCCTACACTTTCATGCATCTTCAAGTTGACATATGATTATCTAACTACCACAGTGACCCAGGATCAAAAGAACTAGAGGGGCCCAGCTGGCAACACTCTGACTGCTCTGAACATGACCACAACGGAAGGGCCCCAACAGAGTGGAAGAAGAATGTAGAACAGAAAAATAAAATTCACACAAAAAGACTAGAGTGGCTAGTCTTAACAGAGGCTGAAGGAACATTCAAGACGATGAGCCTCGGCTACTTTTCTGACCCAGAAGTGAAGCCATTCTCATCGACTACCTTTTAGTCAAACAATAGTCCCATACAATGATAAGCATGTTCGCTGGATCAATTTTACAAGATCAGAAGTATAGCATTTTTCCAAAAGCAAAAATAAGAAGAGGTTACAAACCTAGATGAAAGGACACGAAAGCCATACCTGGGAGCTGACACACTGTGGAGAATGCAGCCGGGTCCGTGGAGCACTGCACGCACTGACATTAAAGGGAAACGGATTTGCTCTCTAAGCTTTCACCTAAAGCGCACTACAGTTTGTTTATATTTTTTGAAGAACAGGATCCATCTTCCATCATCATCCTTTAAAGAGATGGAAAAACTAATCACGAGTTTGATACAGAAAGGAAGGAGACCCAGATGGGCAAAGCACTGCGAAAACAAAAAAGTAGGAAGCTCCATACTTCCCAGTCTCAAAACCTACCACGCCAACATCATAGTCAAAACAACCTGGCTTGATGCAACAGAATTGAGAACCTGGAAATCCATCCACCTTTAGGCAGGTGTGTGCTCACGAAGTAACAGTCAGAAAACATCAAGCGCTGCATTGCATTGAGAAAATGTGCTGGACCAGACCTCTCTGAAGTGTGAAAGAGCAAGAATGTCACTTGAGGACTAAAGTGGGCCTGGCCCAAGCATGGTATTTTCAGTTGCCTCATATGCACGTGAACGTTGACACTGAACAAGGAAGACTGGAGAATAATCGATGCACTTGAGTTGTGGTCCTGGAAAAGAATATTGAACGTGCCACGGAATGCCTAAAGAGCAAACAGTCTGTCTTAGTAGTCCAGCCAGAATGCTCCTTAGGAGCGAGGATACTCGGTCTTAGGTACTTCAGACGTGTTCTCAGGAGAGACTAGCCTCTGGACAAGGACATCATGCTTGGTAAAGTACAGGAGCCGCCCAAAAGAGGAAGGCTCTGGTCAAGTGGCTGCACGATGGGTTCAAGCATAGGCACGATTGTGAGGACGGTGCAGGACCAAGCACGACTTCCTTTTGTTGTATAAGAGTCCCCACGAGTCAG